TTTGATTCGTAATAACTTCTAAACAAGTAAAGGTTTTAAAGAGAAATAACTTGCATTAAATAGAGGAAGGACTAACTTAGATTTTGATATATTACAGTTGTATTTAACTTAAAAATTCACGGATATATTAATGTTAAAAATGTGGAGCATATTTTGGAATGTGTCTAAAATTAGCGAAAATCGGCATATCAAATATTAACTCCAGCGTTTGTTTGCTTAATGACATATTAGGCTAACTTGTATTTCAGCGAATTATCGTTAAGGTTTGTAAGGGATATGGCGTAGATTTAGACATCTTACATGTAAGTCTTAGCTCATTGTTTCCTGAAATATGAACGTTCGAAATTATGCAAGCATTTAATATTAGGTCTTTGCAAACTTAAATGTACATGAAAGACTGACCATGGAAGGCAGGCGCTTAAATTTTTCGTATTCTTAAATAGCCTAATTTTTTTATGTTTTTAATGAGTTCAAACAGACTGAGTAGATTATTTCTCGGTTAGAGCAGGATGAATATTCTTTATTGAAGGAAATAATATTGCTTTTTGCAAATACACATCACCGTATCAACGCTACTATTTTGTTACGTTTTGTTCCAAAAATGTTGCATGTCTCTGGGGAGTTGCTTAATTGTTATGTCTTATGGAGTTGTAAGGTTTGATTGTGTTTCATATAATTCTCAGTTTACTCCATGAACTTGCCAAGATTAAGAAACGGCAAAAGAGTTTGGGTGTTCTTAACAAGATTTCAGAACGTTGCAGAAGTTAGAAGAGCTTCACAATTCTGTTGTGACAGCATGCCCTAATTCAGAACTACGAACGATCCAATGACGATCCTTCGCGATGCAGTGGTCTCATGAAATAAGGAAACGTATTCGTGCTAGGAACACACGCGAATTTCGAACGAATGAATCTTGCTTGTATTTTGTAGATATAATAATACTTTGTTTCATAATAAACAATTTGTCAAGTGTCATTTATTTACTGGTAATAGTGCATGTTTCAGTCGGGCAAATCTTGATTAATATTTGATACGCCGATTTTTGCATACTTCAGACACATCCAGAAATATCCTCCCGAATTTAAAGATTAATATCTCCGTGAATTTTTAAGTGAAATACAACTGTAATATATCAAAGTCTAAGTTAGTCCTTCCTCTATTTGATGCAAGTTATTTCTCTTTAAAAGCTATACTTGTTTAGATGTTATTACGAATCAAACAGGAGTACTTTTTTTTGGGCCACCCGGTACATGCATCTCATTGGCAGGTGGCGTCATCCCTTGGGTATTTAAGAAGCCACGATTGTAAATTTAGGTCACCTCTGATGAAGATACTAGACTGGAGTGTCGAAACGTTGGGTCTTGATTACAATTCGACTGGGCTTTGTAATCATTTATTTAAACCAGAGTAGCGAGCGAAACATGAATGTTTCAACGATATTGAAGTCATCTACTGGTGAACATACAGTAGTTGAAACATAGAGATACAGTCTGTGTAATCAAATGAAATGCTTTCTTTATTCAGAGTGACCGTTGTTGTGTATTTTACTAAAATATTCAGTGGTTCCGGTAATTACTGGCCATTACAGTACTATTTCGTAAATATGACCCAACAACGAGAAGAAAAAAAACCCACTAAACACAATTACGAAAACGAGGCTCTATATAGCTAAGGCGATTTGGTTTATTGCATACAATTTAATGATTTAACAATTTATACAATTATCACACGCTGCTTATAAAACGCGAAGATTAGAATTACAGTTGTTCAACAAACCCCGTCAATATATTCAACAAACCGTCTGTTTCATAACATTTTTCTACGTATGTGTACAGTTTACACGTTCCAATTTTTAAATTACACCTGCACATACAGAGTTTGGAATTCAGTAATTAAGTCTAGCCTCGTACCCAGGCGCTTATAAGGAAAACCGTGCTAAGCAAGCACTTCAGTGTTATAACTAGTTCAGCGGTTAACTGCGCGTTCGCTTAGCTTAACCGCTGAAGTAGATATAACACTGAAGTGCTTGCTTAGCGCGATTTTCCTTTTATAAGCGCCTGGGTACGAGGCTTAACTAAGTCAGTTCACCAAATGTATCATTCAATATTTATGACTACACTACGCAAAACGAAATACTCACCACTTAATGTGTGATTAAAGAGCTCGTCTGGTGTGTCGCCATAAAACGGGGTATCTCCAACAAGGAATTCATAAAGTATAATACCCATCGCCCACCAGTCTACGGGTTTGCCGTAAGCTTGACGGAGGATGACTTCTGGAGCAATATAGTTAGGTGTACCAAATACCTGCAACATAATAAGATAGGCGATGTAAATCATCACTTTTCGATTGTGTTTGTTTTATTAATACAGTAAATAAACACAAGTTAGTTCATTCTTTATTCTGTCCTGACTACGATTTGCTTCGACTGACCACGATGTTGATTGTATTAGTTACTCTGTTTCAGGATAAGTCCTGCAACAATTGCATTACTGTTCAAGGCACAGACCGTTCAAGGTTATACCAATTAAAAGTCGTGGCTCCCAAATGAAATGAGAAAATCGTACTGTGTAATAACTACAGGCGCAGTCTAAGGTACATTACCTGCCTATCAGTAAATTGTTTGCCGTCTTTCGCTTCCATTGAGCCTTCGTAAAGATGTGTTGTCACTAAAGTTTCAGACAGATAAGAACAATTTATTTTATAGACTTATGCTTTCATAAGGCTTTTTGATATTAGGTCGGGTTCATTTTCTAATTTTGACAGTGGTAAGAAGATAACGATGAACGAGGCAGTGGCACTTCGTTACAATAATCCTCAGAGCTAGGAAACATCTTTATAGCCTTCGCACGCCATGAACGTTGAACCATGGATAATAAAATAAATGGATAGGAAACTAGCTGACGTGACCTAATGTTTTCAATGGGCTGATGGCGTGATTGGATGTTGAAACCTAGTTACAAACCAAATTCTCAAAAACGGCATGTTTAGCAATAATACAGCTAAACATTTTAGTCAAAGAACAAATGAATATAACTACGCCATTCTACGATGAAATCTCTAAGTATTCCCAGTCAATTTTAGCAAATATTTCAAGCACTAAACAGTGAAAAAGGCATCCCAAATTTCGTTAAAATTGGGGACGCCAATTTCGTAGCTACAAATGTAAAAAAATACAAAACAAAGACGAAAAACATTTACCTTGAATAGTTTGTCGTGGCTTAGGCATGTTTTTAAAACAGTTAGACCGGTTTGTGCTTCAATATCGCTCTTTTAAGGCGGGAAATATAGCGAAACAACAAAAATGCAGAGAACTTTGCAATACGCGTGACGTCACAGATTGCAACTAGGTTGTTTTTGCTTACGTCAGCGAGAGTCCTATCCATTTATTTTATTATCCATGGTTGAACCATGCACGCTAAGAAAGTTGAATGTATAAGAACGATCGTCTAGCGCTCGGCGAAAAGTAGGATTGACCTCTACTTTTCGTCGAGCGTCAAATTTTTAACCAATAAGATTCCGCGAATTTTTATGACGATCGTCATAAAAAATCGTCTAGTGGAGATCAGCTTTTACGCTGGGACTGCAGAGAACAACGAAAGTTGGGTTGTCTCAAGAGGGATTCAAAATCACACCTTAAGGATTTCGATACACGGACTACTGCAAAGGGTATTCATTTAAAACAATACAATGCAAAAAAGTATAAAGTCTGGTCACTTACTTTCCATAAGACCAATTTTCGAAAGCCCAAAATCGGTTAATTTAATATGACCGAGCGAAGTAATAAGTAAACTGAAATTGAAAATGTTTTAGCTGAAAACACTCCACATACAGTATATAATTTTCACAGTAAAATTGTAAAAAGGAAAAGACAATAAAGAATGTGAAAATAAAGTACTAACTTGTCAGGTTTCAAATCACGATGAATTATCCCATAACTATGTATGTACTCTAATGCTAGCACCGTTTCAGAAAAGTATTGTCTGTAAAGAGTAAGAAACGCTATATAGTCAGTGGGAAACTCAACCAAGAATAGTTAACTGTGAGAGGTGCTTGTTAATTTCATACCTTGCAAGGTCAGCAGGTAAACAGCCGATGTTCTTAAGCAAAGAAGCACAGTCACCTCCTTCCACATATTCCATCACCAAACAAAGATGTTTCTACAAGAAAGCTGTGTTTTAGTTACTAGTCCGTGTCAATATGTAGATATTTATAGTCTAATATTCAATTTAAATACAATCCGAATTTCCTATATTTAACCTTAACCCTCGTCCTTTTGACGTCATTTTGGGATAGTTGCAATAACAGTATAAGCATTAGCGAGTTTGAGCAAGACAACAAAGTACGAAGATGTACTTAACAATTTTTTCCCGTCTCCACATTACCCAGCGGTGGTTGTTGAACGAAGACACATTGAGCAACCACTATAGTGAGCCCAAACTCAGTATGCGCAAGACAATGTGCACTGTGCAGACGGGCAAAAATTGTCAAGTACGTCTTCGTACTTCGTTGTCTTGCTCAAACTCTCTAATATTGCATTGCATATACGATAAAATTGTTCAACAAACCCTAGTGCATGTTTTTTCTACGTATGCATGTCTACAGTTTACATGTTCCTACTTTCAAATTTACTTGCATATCGGACAAGGAATGAGGTACTGAAATATATAAACCTATGAACCACACGAAATTCAAACTAAAATGCATGCACTGTAATTACTTAGCTAGTAATTACTTAACATAAATTTGATACAACCTCGTAAAAACGATCTCAAAATATTCGCAACTGATTTAAACTTGAAGGAAACTGTTCAATTCAGCCAAAATTCAGCCAAAATGGCGACGACGACATCACTTTCTCGGCAAGAATAATTACCTTGGTCTCAAAACTGCACCACATTCCAACGACAAACGGATTGTCAGCAAATTCCAGAATATCACGTTCAGCAAAAACTTGACTGACCTGAAAGGTAAAATATTATTAACGTCTTATTAACCGAACGCGAGGTCTGTACAGAGAACGGACAGGTCTAAATAAACGCGAGGTCTGTACAGACCGAGCCCGTAGGGCAAGGTTTGTACAAAAAGATCGAGGTCCGATGTTTCTCTGTACATATCGAGCAAGCGAGGTTAATAAAAATTTTATTATATGGCATTTATAGGCATTTATACTTGAAACAAAAAAGAAATGCATGGTTTGAAATGCATATTAGTAGCGTGGTACACATTTGGTCGAAGAAAACAAAAAATACCAATGTATTCTTTCTTTTTCACTAAAAACCATTCGCAGATATCTAATTAATAACAAACTAAATTATAATTTTCAAATTTTCAATTAGTTTTGCTGTTTTGTCTTAAAATGCATGGCTTTGATTTTACGTAATGGACCGCCGGTTCATTACGCGGGAAAATATCACAGTCCGCCATTTTACCAGAAGTGATGCTTGCCATATAATAAAAACAAGTAATTAACGACTTGGTACTGGAAACCTTGCTCCGTTATACAGTATTTGGAAGCAGAACATATGTAGGTACGAAAGACATATGTCAAAGCAATTATACAAACATAATGAAATTTGCATTGCCATTCACAACAAGCCCAGTAGTAACCTTCCGTAAAATACGTACAGCACAGTATACATTTTATTTGTATTTTTCAGGCAGTTGAATCTCTCTGAATCTGCAGCTTTCTGGTGTTATTGTCACTACCTACGCTGGCACTGATCGTTCGAGTTTATACATCATCTAAGACGAAATCCAGCCACAACGATGGTGAATCTCAAGAGAGTTTGTCAAAATCTCCGGAATGCAACAGTATTTCAAGCCTATCAACTGCATTAGTAAACGTGCATGTACTGTATGTACTTTTAATTCACGGCAATACGAGATAAACTTGTCTCTATTAATTACCTTGTTTCTCAAGATCATACTTTGTTTGTTCATTTTCTTCAAGGCAAATCTCATTCCTGTCTTCCGATGACGAACTAAATACACAGCCCTAAGAATAAATAAAAAAGATAAAGTTAACACACTTATACTCATTTGTTTAATTAAGTGATGAACATTCATTAAAGCCACACTTTAATAATGAAAAGTCCTTACCCAAAAGCACCATTACTAATTAACTTCTTATATTCAAAATCATCTTCGGAAGGTGGCGCTTCACTGCGAGGGGAATCCTGAGAACAAAAGTTCAGAATTCAAGTTAGTTTTATCTAACCCCTCTAAGACCTAGTGTCAGGGATGGATTCACTGGGGGGGCACCCCCTAGTCCTGGCCAGAGGGGGTGCTATTTTTCATGATAAGCAAAAAATAATAGAGACAAAATGAGAGACAGTAATTTGAGCAATAACATGATGATACAGTATGCTGATGGGTGGACGGCACACATGACCGACACAATTCGGCACCAGGGCTGGCAGAGCACTCCTACCAGATTATGCTGGATCCATCCCTGCCTAGTGTTATTATTGGAGAAAACTGGAGTGCCCAGACGAACCCTGTGGTGTTTGGTACTGTAGATTCAAAAGGGAAACATTCTTCTCACACGCAACTGACATGACTAGTGCATGGCTGTATATATCTAAGAAAACCATCCAATGTCGAGGAAAATGCAGAGAGCATGGGAACCTGGTGGGCAATGTAGAGATCTGTAGGACTTGACTATGCAACCAACTACAGTAAATCACAACAATACCATAAAAATACCTGACTTTCCGGCGAAGCTTGTTTCGGCGACGTCTGCTCGGAATGATTAACATTTAATCTACTTTTAACATAAGCTTCAAGTTCATCTGAACGTACTTCGGTAGCTTGAAGATCATTGTAGAACTCTTCAGCATCAAATTCCTAAAACAGTATCATTATCACTATATTACATACAGTATACCTCTATCAGTATATTTATTTCTATCATAAATATCATACGCGCGGTAGAGCTAGTCAACAGAACCTGCAAGAATTACTATATTTACTCCATAAAGAAGTGACATAAATTCTTTCAACTACAGTACTTGTTTATTGCGTTTATATATTATCAGTGAACGTGCAATACAGTAACTCAGTAAAGGCTCAATACAGTACTTCTATAACAGGATGTGAAAAACTTCGTCATTTCATGATACCGTTCTTCTGAACTCGGGAGTCCAGGGTACGTGTACACATGTAATCAATCATATGACATTTAATAAAATGGTTATTGGTTACAGTTCAGGTCGAGTTCAACGGTTGTTCGAAGCTTTGGTTTTATAGTTCTGAACATCAAAAAAGGGTTAAACAACTACAGTATATCAACTTACCAAACAGGATAACAGCCGTGCGACTCTTGAAACAATTATGAACAATTGGCGGAATACTTTAATAACTGGAATATCGTTATCTGTTTTTGAGCGTGCCTAAACAATTATAGAAACAGCCTTATTTAAAGGTCATGTTACGCGAGGTAATATTCGGCAACTTGTAACGCAATTTCTGACATAGAGCTTTAGTATAAATTCAGTATTGAAAAATGGCTTTCAAGTGTCCTGATTGGCTCCCTCAGCAGTAACTCTATGGCAATAATTACTGCTCAGACTGCTCTGAGCAGGAACGCCCCCCCCCCCTCCCCCAGGAACAATTGCTTTCAAAACAAATGGCTGCCGAAAATCCATTTGCAAAACAAATCTTCGAAGAAAAAATTGAAGAAATTGAAGGCACATACTAAAAGCAAAAGTAGCAAAATATATGGTGTTAACCTATTTCCGAAAGACAAAAGTACCTTTTACATGCCTAAAACAATTTATTTGGCAATTTAAAACCGGAAAACAACAGAATCGGGCGACAAAATTCCGACAGCTGGATTCGTTTGACTCAAAAGCAGAAGAGTGAAGTTAATTATATTTATAGTATATATTATTATTTTTCAATACTGAATTTATAATAAAACAATTAGTAGAATGTCACTTGGTAAATTGACATATTTGAAAATAGATTGCATCAGTGATCGTTTGCGTGGTTATTTTATTCTGGTAAGAAACACGTATAATCATGCAGTTCACCCCATGGTTTTCTTCCAACATAAAACTTGGCATAAAATTTTATGTTATTTAAGTACAGTACTTATATACAGTACTTATATACAGTACTTATGTACTATACTTGCGTACAGTACTTATGTTATATGTTAAGGTGTACAGTACTTATGTTATACGTGTTGTACTGTATGTTCAAAGATTTGCGAGCAAGATCCTCAAGTGCAAACAACACTGTGAAAAAATAAAAGGTTTCCAGACATGGAAAGTCACTTCATACCTCAAACAGCAACCGTTGTAAATTTTCGCTCAAATCCATAAAATATCCGCTGCTTAAGAGACCATCTTTAGATTTACTTAAACAATCACGGGCGGCCTCTACAACCTACAATAATAAGAAGACCTTTAGTCTTATTCGTATAAAAGAATAAGAATGCGCCTTTAATGACCAGTCAAAAGGCACATGCGAGTCAGAAATGACGAAAATGGTCAGAGAAGCCCAATCTCGTCTTAGGGAACTTTAATTAATACTATACTCGCAGGATATAAATGAGCATTTGTTCAAGATATATACAATCCTAAACTTTCCTCACAAATGCACAATCACATTTTCTTACAAATACTGTAATAACCTAAGTGCAGGTGCTGAGAAGAACCGGAATACTTGAGAAGTACCGGAATACTTGGGAGGAACCCCAACACACACACACACACACGAGATCAACTACGGCAGCCCAACTCACGTAACCTCAAGTTTTTTAAATGGTCACCGATCCATGTACAGTAGTAAACCCCATCTGACTAACACCGCGGAAAAACGTCTGCGCATGCACCAAATTATGAAAATATGGCGGGGAATTTGAATATCAATTTCTAAAACAAAAACATGATTATCAATTGGTCAAAAATTAGTAAAACAAACGAGAAAATATAGCAAATGGGCAGACTAGACATTAATTGAAAGCGTCCTGGCATTTAAAGTATGGAATGAAATATAATTCATGTAAAAAATTGTTGATTTTAACGGACACGACTTCGAAAATGTTTGCAAAATTATTCAAAACAAAAATTCAAACTAAAAAGTTAAGAAAACTCTCGAAAAGTTAAGCTGCTCAACCCACTCAAATTGTAGAATAAATCCTAAAGTTTAATTATTGTGAACACGAAAATTTTTTATATTTGGCGACACAGTTTTTTTTAAAGAAATGTATCTCAAACGAAAATTCGGAAATTGTCGTTGCTTAGTTGATAAACAAAATGTTTCAGACGATAAATTTGTCAACAATCACCTTTAGTTCATGTTCTTGTACAATACAATTTCTTGAACCTTCTGGCTGTATTTATTCCTAGTTTTTAGAATGACATGTTTATTTTTGCGCTCGAAATCTGGCTGTAAAGACGCACAATGAAGTCACTCCTTTTTACCGCCATTTTGAGCCTTCGGAAACGTTCGGAACAGCTTCTCATCAAGTTCGCATACTATTACAGGTAAGGTTGACGCATGCGCAGACGTTTTTCCGCGGTGTTCATCTGACTGGGCTAAACGTTTCATTTTTCACACCCAAGTACAGTATATATGACGTTTTTAACAATACGAACTATAGTTCTGCGCAATTTAGTGCTGAGTGAAGTTTCCTGCGTCAATGCGCTCATTGATAAATAAATATATTAATTTCATTTCAACCCCAGTCGTTGTGATGAGATGTTAGTAATAGAAGATGGTGGTGTACCTGAACAAGAAAAAAATTCGAGACACCATCTCCATTTTTCTTTACTTCATTGTCGTCTTCCACGTGTTTTTCAATAAACGCCTAAGTGATTCAAGATTTTCTATCAGCATGTAAGATATATTTCAATGCCAAGCTATATTTTCAATATTTTCAATGAAACATGTACTCAGTATTTATCATGCAACATCGTGACTGCAACTCACTGGAAAAATTTTGAAAATCCATAGAAGGTTATAGTATGGAAATTGTATGGACCTTTGCATGGAAATAGAATCGATTTTGGTTATCCATAATAATTGTATATTTCCATAGTATGGATATAGTATGGAAATAGTATGGATATAGTATGGATATAGTGGTGCAATTGCAAATTTCATAGTATGGATTTCAATTTTTTTTCCAGTGGCTCCTAAATTTTCATCAACATGCCTTCTAAAAACTCTGGAAATATAAATTACCTGTAGTTGCTCCTCCAATTGTTTAACAGCCTAATGAAGTTGAATAGTTATCAGATAGAACTGTTACGGTAAATACTGTATACTATATATGTTGGATACGCGTTACAATCTCATGAAAAATTAGAAGTTAATAACATCAAATATAAACAGACCTTTGGAAAACGTTCTTTGTACAAAGACGTAGTAGTGACAATTTCACTTGATTCAACAGCATGCCTTGGAGGACTGTAAAGCAATTAATCACATTGGTAAGAACTTAAGAAAAGAAACAAATTGTACACGAGCACCGTGGCCTATTACAAACTTTGCTATTTTTCGACATATCGTTACAGAAATGTTTTTGTATAGTACAGTAAATATATTTCAGACGTTCGGTAAATAAAGAATACGTTGTATGTACATATATCACTTTTTCAGTTCATCACTTTTCATTTACGTAATATTTCATATCCGACTATATGAGGACTGGATTAGATTCAAGTTCGCGCGACTTTATCAACTGACTGGATCAAAATGCGAGGACATGAAATCTAATCCAGTCCGAACTGGAGGATTTGAAATGACAACTCATACGAATAACTCACTATACTTAAAGTGAGGTGAATTAAATTAAACACACCTTAAACTGCGTGAGCGGCCTCGACGTGGAAAAACACCAACGAATCTTTCATCGTCCACATCACTGTAAAATATACCGTGGTGAAATAAGTATATGTAAGGTATATTATAGAGACGACTTTTACTAATCTGCAAATCTCGAATTGCTGTAATCATCATTACAACAGCAAACCAGTGAAGTTATGTATACAGGGTATGCACACTGTTGCTTTTACCTGAAGTTCAAATCATCAAAAGAAGGGATATTCGGGAGCTATAAAGGTAGAGATGCATATATAAATGTACAAAACAATACGTATTTGCAATTTTCAAATAGTTGCTTATATACTGTAACTCTACGTTAAAACCGTGTCGTACACAAAACACGCTTAAACCAAAAACAGGTGATGCATAAACAGAATTGTTTTCCTTTCTCAACTCTCTCTGATATTCTTCTAAAGTTGATCTTCCACTTGTGTTACAAATTAATTCTCTCCATTCCGTTTTACTCTATTTTTTCTCCAGATGCACTGATTTAAAACATGCACTGCCTGTTTCTGAAGCACTTTCACAGAACGATGTCTTGCATTGGATACCCAAATGAACGAGCACTAATTATGGTCATTATCCTTTCACACAGTATATAAAGCCTTACGACCGCATAGAAAGTTACAGTATCTCCGATATTCTCTCGTTGAAATATGTTCTTGTGACTTACCTGATTAAGTCGTTCTTGAGAAGAGGTTAAAGACTACAAAAATGGAGTAAAAATAAAAGATTAATTCATCTCTACTCTAAATTATCCAGCAAAAGCGAATAATAGTACTGTTTATGGCACTTTTTCCCCAATGGCTTCGTTTCTGTGTTTGTCTGTTTTAGTATGGAAGGCGAACATTAAGGGTCTATCCCATGTTTCGTTCTCTTTGATCTTGAGCCCAATCACAAGCCTATCCTTAACAGTATTGTCCACGAAACACGAGGATATCGCCACATGAAAACGAGGCCATTGGGGCAAGAGTGCAATACACAGTACAGTCTATATATTGGAAGCGGAAGAATTTTCCAGAATTCCAACCCATGATTAAGTGTAAGATACTGCACCACGGTATACACCTGGCTGGCGTATTGTTTAACTACTCTACGTAGCGACTCGTTACGAATATTCTTGTGACTGGTTGATAATAAAAGACAATAATACACTAAAGTATAGGAGTCACCGAATCACCTCTCCAAAGAACGAGTCAAATACTGATCATATTTGTTTTAGAGAACCAATCACAAAACTGGGTAGGTATTTATTTGGCGTGAAAGGCAGATGTGTTTACAGTAAACTGGCCCTCACAGTGGTCCGCCCGAGCTTGGGCCTGGAGACGAGGATGCTGGCACACTGGAAATATCAAGGAGTTGAATCAACTCCAAAAGAGTTACAGTATTCTATCACCGTTTTTGGTGGGACATTTTTGGTGGCACAGTTTTTGGTGGCACCATTTTTGGTGGCACATTTTTGGTGGCACAGTTTTTAGTAACAGAATAACACTTTTGAGGTTGATTCAACTGCTTGAAAATTACAGTGCAGCATTTTTTATAATTTGCACCTGGTGGTTATTAGCAACTTACCGAGTAGGAAGAGTAAGGTGTAGTGCCATAACCAGATGATGTTACAGACCATCTTCTACTATCACGACTAAATAGAGAAACCAAACACTTTAATGACTTTATTAACTCTACTTCCAACACTGTACAAGTCCACTGGTTTGGCAAAATTTCAAAAATTTACTCCAGAAAAATTGATTTTCATTAAAATTTACTTTCATTGATTAAATTAGTTTCTATCTGTTGGATAACATACAGTATGAACGCATGACGTGATATCCATAGTGTATACATACTTTAAGCCCGTTTTCCACTAGATGAAATTTGGTCGCGCGCGAAGGGCGCCGCAGTCATTTAAAAATATTAAATATTTGCAATCGTATTGGGTAGCGATAGCAATCGTGGCGAAAGAGTAGGATCATTTTCTACTTTGTCGCGAAGAATTTATCGCTAATCACATTGCACTTCGATTGACTGAAACCCATTAGGCGAATGCGCAGCTCATCCAAATTTAGGGATGGACACCCATTGCGTGCTTTATTTCTTGTGGATCAACTTCTTATTAACCGAACGCGAGGTCCGATATTTCTCTGTAAGTATAGAGCAAGCGTGGTTAATAAAAAGTTTATTATATGGCATTTATACTTGAAACAAACAAGAAATGCATGAATTGGAATGCATATTAGTGTTCCACTAAAAACCATTCGCAGATATCTTATTAATAACAATTTAAATCATAATTTTCAAATTTTCAATTATTTTTGCTGTTTTGTTTTAAAATGCATGCGTTTGTTTTTACCTGTGTTTTTACGTAATGGATACGGGAAAATAATGGACTGCTGAAAGTGCTTCTCAGCCAATCACAGTCCGCCATTTCACCGGAAGTGATGCTTGCCATATAATAAAAATTAATAATTTTATGGTAACCTACTCCATTTTACGTCATTACGTCATCGTCCTTACTGCATTTTACGTCATTTAATGATGTCGTTTGACTACGTTTAATTTCAACACATCGTTCTATAATTGTTGTTCATTACGAATGAAAAAACGAAATTGGATTGAACAATCATGAATGATCTGATTCTTCGTCACGTTGTACAACACACTGTTTCAATGATATGACAACACTCTGTTTCAATAGTCTTCGAGCTACTGTACACGCGCATGCACCTGGGCCTGGCTTACCATCTTGAAATGGGAAAATTGAATTGAAGAGGAACAGAACACAACGAAGACCCGTGCAATGGACTACCAGATGGACTTTCCCAACCTAAAAAAAATGAAATCTGTTATAACATGTGAGTATTACAGGCTGCTACCAACAGTCTTTCACAAATGCGAACATTTTTTATGTCGGACAGTACTTACAATATGTTTACTTGCATGAGAGCAGAATGGCAAACACTCATAATCGTGACTACAAATATTACTGTCGTTTTTCGCATAGTTTTCTAACAAGTATTTGAAAATTTCAAGATTTCACGTCGTGATTGCTAATCAGATTGAAAATTCCACGTGCACATATAAACAATAATCAATATATACGTTTCACTCTAACTGTTTATCCTTAGCTGAAAACGATGGTAAATAAAGCTTATGTCGAGGAGGTACTGTACAATTTTGCCCAAAACAGAACAATGAATTTCTATTTTTCAGTACTGTGGAATGAATAAACTATGGAATGTATAAACAAAGGTGGATATGGGAAAAATAAATCTTTTTCCAAACTTTAGCTGTAAATTATTTGTTCCCAACGTTCCCATAAACGCTGTTAATTTGGGTGTACGGGGAGGATTTTTACAAATGAAAATATGTTTGGGAAACAGACATGTACACGTTCATACAGTACATATGTCCTATTAACTATTGCCTGCTTTAGCCAATATTGCAGCACAGGTTTCATATACTCCCTCTACCAATCAAGCACAGCAATGCATATAAAGAACGTAATATTGAACAGTTTTCAAAACTTAAATACCTCTAGGAGATCTGGCCTGTGGTGGAGTCCTTATCCCAGCAAAATTCTTGCGGTGTCTGCGATTACTTGCAACACTACAGAAAACAAAACTAAACATCAGAATTTAAGTATCAGAAAAATTAAGTGATGCATAAATAAAGGCCAAATGTCCAACATGGAAACATCGGTCAAAACTTTACAAAAACCTGTGCAAGCTGAAAACTCCCCTCATCCCTTTTCTAATGACTAAAACTGATTTTGAAATATTGAAATTTCCATGACTTTCCAGGTTTTCCATAGACTGCAAGCGGGTGCCTCCTTTCGGCATGATCCATGTCTACTGCAAGCAAGTAATAGTGTGGTTCAATGCAGAGTTAAATTCTGCTTTTTTTCAAATTTCGAAGTCATTCACGAGATAGATTTATGCTGCAATGCTTTGCTTTTAGTTTCTATATCTAGCTCTGTATTTTGGTTCAATATTCTATACAAACTAGATTAGCATTTCTAAACAAAAGATATTTTCAGCCTTATTTTATACCTATATAAAATATGGCTAAAACTATCTTTTGTTTAGAAATTTGTTGATTTAAAACCGACTTGTCAAATGAAAACATTGTTTTGCGATAGGTAGATTACAGTTGGAAAATGGGTATAAATTGGGTATCAATGTATGGAGGTGATGGATGCTAAAGTTGGAAATAAAATTCTTGGTCTTGGAGTATACAGTAGCAAGAATGGCAAATAAAGATACCTAGCTGGAAAATTGGACAATTTTATGTATATGTTGAAACGTTTTAAAGTTTCCAAAATTTTAACATAAAATTTACTTTACCTGCACTTTCTATTGCTTATTCCCTAAATTGAAACGAAAACGTAATTAGTAAAATTTTAGAATTTAGTGAAATTTTCCAAATTTGGTGTAGCTAGGTTATTAATCGATGACGTGTTGACTAAACTAAAGCCTGGTTTCCATATGGTTGTAACGGTCGTAAAGATTGAGTCACAATCTTTCTCACCAGTGGAAATACAACATTTCATTTTGGAACTGAAAATATGGAGTGATTATAACTAGAGAATACTTATGATTTATATGTGGCTTACAGGTATACTGTATAAACTATTATTAAAATCCTGAGAAGAAACATGTGTGCTGCACGAACAATACAAAATAAAGTTTGACTGCCTCCCCCCTCGTTTAAAAAACTTCCTGAAGCTTTAATTATTTCCCTGGAAAAACATCTTTACAGACAGACACAAATCAAGATCTCGACAATACATTACTCGCACGAAAGACTGTGTCGAGTCACTCGAGTGGACTCTGGAGAAACCATAGCATGTCATGAATAGTGTGCTGCCTCGCACATTGGCCATTGAGAAAGATTGTGACTCTATGTTTATGAGTAATATGTAATGTATGCATGCATGTGATTCCCACAGCTAAATGTTGAAAATTTGTAATGAAAACGATTTTCACACCCTCCCTGGACAGCTGTATAGCATGGTTTTTCAACATATACTGTACCATTTTCCTTTCTGATATAAAAGCAGGATAACCAAATTAAAACATAAATTTGGTTTCCTCTTTATAGAGAATATTACGAAGTATAAACAAGAAAGGAAACATTTCTAAAGAGCAAAGGATTCCTTTTAAAATCAGACGTCACTTAACCCAGGGATAACTAGCCTGCGAACAGGCTCTCAAGATGAAATGAGAGCCTGCATCGATGACTAATGAATTTGAACATCTGCCCCGTAACGTTTGTTTTTCCAAATATGGAATGTCTATCCTTATATGGTGTTATTTACAACTTTCGTGCAAACTAAATTTAGACTGTGCAAACTACAGTAAATTTAGACCGTACAGTTTATACTGTTTTTGAAATATAAGATATTCAAGCAAAAGTTTAAATGTTTTAAATACTGTTTCCTCAAAACAGAACATTTCGTGATTTGAGATAAGATGGCCAAGACCAATTTGATCAGTTAATGATTGTGTTTTTTATGCATAGTGCTTCAGCAGTTGACATATATAGAGCTCAGCGGAATAAATTATAGCATCTGACCAATGAGAATTTCGCGTCACAATTTGAGATGCAGATATTCAAATTTATTAGTCATCGATGCAGGCTCTCATTTCACCTTGAGAGCCTGTTCGCAGACTAGGGATAACTTTCCAAATTACACAATCCTACAATACTTGAATACATATTATTTGATTATATAAGTCTGTGTTCAAGGCAGGGGTGCCGGAGCCACAGGGGCAGCTGCTCCTGTTGCCTAAACAGTGCGGGGAACAGTGCGGGGGCAGCACGGGGGCAGCACGGGGGCAGCAGGTTGCCTTTTTTTCCAGAACTGCACTTCGAACGTCATGCATTTTTCACATGAATTGAAATTGAAAACTGTTTATAAACAATTTAGCTCATATTTGAATCTGAATTCCTCTCAGAAACGTTACCAATCAGTTTCCACCTATGAAAAAAAGTAAAAAAGGAAGCCTTCCTAAATAACTGACAACTGTCATGTTGATTTACAATATATTTTAGTCTTTATAGTGTCATGCAACGAATAAAAATGTTCCAATCCATGCCGAAATTTGTCTAACTGTATTAGCTAAAAGTAATGAAGTATCCGTTAATATACAGCAAAATGTTAACGAACATTGCCCCCCCCCCCAAAAAAAAATAATTAAGGCTCAAGAGTAAGTGCCCTTTTTAAATGGCTGCCCCCGCCGCTTCATGTTGCTTCCGGCGCCCCTGGTTCAAGGTTTTGTTTACATGGATAGACTAGCACATACTCAGCAGATAGTTCATGTTCATGAGATTATAAATGCTGTCCAACACTTGGACTTTACCCCAATGTTAAAATCGAGTAAACTTAATTATTTAATCATATAAAGGGCAATTGGCTAATGATGAGGGCATTTTTTCTTAATTCAGGGCAAAATCACTTGTACCTGATTGGCTGAGATGCAAGTGCGGGAAGTTTCTTGTTTTAAATAGCAATAAAAACAATGGCTTCTCGCTTTGTCGTTGCAGATTGATAATAATGTTATTGAGGAATTAAAAACTTCTACTGAAAACCCGAATACACCTACTAGAAAAAGTACAATTTTATGGGTTGGAGTATTTAATAAATGGGCAGCATTAAGGAACATCGGCGAAAACAGGGAGACATATACGAGGTTCAAGAACTTGACAAGTTCACAATCAACTTACAAATAAATTTTGCCCTCTATGATTAACAAGTAATCGCACAGTTCCTCATAAAATTAAATTTTAATTTCACTTGTGTTTTCAAAGTTTCATGTTTCGTAAAACTCTGAAAACAAGTGTGATTAATTAAACCTTAATGTTACTCGGCCCCATGCGATTACCCAATTAAATTAAATACAAATACAAGGAAAATAGAGAATGTGCACTGAAATTTAATTCATTAACTTTACTAACATTACTCTCGCATAATCTGGTTTAACTTGAACTCTCAAGTCTCATGCAACCTCAATGTGCTTGTTTTCTTTAGTGACGAGTTGAAAACTGAACTGAAGTTTGGAGTTGTTAAGTTGAGTTATAACACTTTGAAATGAAGTGTCAATGATATTTTAAGCTTTTTACATTGATAATTTTAGTTTTTAAACTATACTGTGAATCCATGATCCATTTCTCTTTTTCCGCGGTTTATGGCCATATAGTATAATAAAAATGCAGTACTATGTTGTAGTTTCATGGGCAGTACCTCATCTGTACCCTAATGAAGTCAGATTTGCTAGTTTAACTATTGTCTGACAACCAAGAACTATAGTTACAACTACCAATACAGTGTCATGAAAGAGAAACGTTTATCGGAAGTTTCTCTGCTCATTCTAATTTGCGCTTATCCTATTGACAATTTCTTCAATCAAAGTTAGTATACTGTACTTTTAGTGTTGATTCAAAGTACATTGTACAGTATATGATCATGGAACTGTGAAAAAGTTGGCTGGATGTACAGACTACATCTTATTTATCTCTTTAATAATATGAAAGTACAAATGTCGAAGTCCTAAACCTTAATAATATATTTCAGTTGCAAATGCAAAACCTGTATGATTGGAACCTTACAGTACATCTCAAAAGTGCAAAATGATTTTTCAGTCTCCAAACAGTTCATCATCAGTTCATCATAATTATAAAAACTAGCAGGGAGTTGTGAAAAAAAGTGCCTTATTTTATTATAATTTTACTCTGTCTAATGCCAGACAATTTTACTCATCAAGGGTAGAGTACTGAGTGCGGCCACTCAATGTGTTAATTTAATGAGACCCATCCACCCATGCATCCTCTTAACCCTTTAAGTGGCAATGCACCCTGGCTAAAGAAAAGGCTAAAACAAAATGTACTCATCATAGTGCTATAGTATGTACTATATATAGATTATACAATAATCTCACTTCATCATATACTGTATATACATGTATATTGACGTGGTCCCTGGTTCCGGACTGTCCTTGCCACAGGGAAATAGTTAAGTCAGTTTGGCGTGTTTGTATATTTGTCTGTCTCTGTCTGTAATATGTTTCTGTCTATCATGTAAAGGCTAGTCTCCATTCGGGAGGGTCTTCAGGATCGGGGTGGACGGGAAAGTTTTCAGTTTGTTTTGCGAGATTTCGTTTGGAACCTCTGGTTTCGAACTAAATGAATTTAATCAACACGAATGACGTCGACGTGGACGTCGTGAATTTAACACAATGAAAGCTCTCCCGCCGTTTCTGTTCAGCGGAGGATCTTCCTGTGTGGAAGCTGGCCTTTACCTTTACATGCATGTTCAATCTGTCTCTTAGTTTACTTGACACGCCCAGTTTCAGGAAATTGAGCCACGTTTACTCAAACTCTCTGAAGCGGTGACTATTTTGAATTTCGAGTTTAACTATTCCATTTAATTTTTTGCTTGCCTGAATCCTTTAGCGAGTTTGAGTTCGCGATGTTCTATTTGTTATCATGATTACTATTTTGGAGGTGGGTGCCCTGCATGGGACCTTTTATAAGAGTCCCGTTCGTACCTTACCTTTTTGGATCTACATTTGATATCTAGGTTAATTTAACTTAATGTAATATTTGTTCTGTTTATTCATTTGTTTGTTAAAAATTGTGAATATCGATCCAAATAAAATTTGTTAAATAAAATAAATATTTTTGCCATACTGTATCTACTGTATTATATCATCATTGATTGTCAACATACCGATAATGCATGAAGGTTAGGTTCAGAGCTTCCTAAACTTGGATGAGATCGCATTTTAAGGAGATTTGATGTTTCTTCTTGGCTGCTGAAGAATGCAAAACTCTCCATCTTTTGCAGTTTCCTCTCATGGTTGTCAGATTTTCCTGATACTTTGAAGTCATTGGGTAATGTCAGCGACAACAGATTGGACTCAGAATCAGACTGAAAACAATAAAACACAAATATCTTAGTGAGCTGAATAAAGTTACAGTAGTTCTAGTTGCATACAGATAATAAACTTGAGTGACCAACACTACACACAGGAAATAGTATATAAAAGTCAACATTATTATACTCTAACTGCATTTTTGTACAGTACAAAGTAAGCAAACTAAAAATTTTACTTATCATTATTTTATTATTCATTCATTCCTGTTTTAAAATTATTTTGCCCTGTCATTTATATTTCATAACTCTAAGGTATTTTCAATCATTCAATGACAATGCCTGACCACCAAATGTAATTTCAGCATCTTATTCAGACTGGGCTGAATTTGAGGTTCTTAGATTTTGTTCAAGTCTACAGTAATGTTTTGCTTGGTTTAAACACAATGCTTGGAATTCAAAGGCTGAGAGGCATACCAAAGCTACCATAAATCCTCTATTAGGCATGTATCTGAGGGGGGCTTCTTACAGTAACCAAAACACAGTAAAACAGTAAAGTAATGTCACATTCCATGCCAATTAATAATCTATACTAATAATCTATACTTATACACAGTCATGTTTTATGGCTTATTTGATAGGGGCTTATTTGAGAGGAGGCTTAACAGAGGATTCATGAAAATCTGAAGAAGGACATGAGGATTTTCAGGGGAGTGCACCCCTCTAACACCACTATGAATTATGGCTATGCCATACTAAACATACTGTAGATATTGAAACGACAGAGCTTCTTACATTGGAAGACAAATATAATGGTAGTAAAGGCTTAAGTTATCTGTAGATCACTTGTTAAGTGCAGTTTCCATTATTGTCAACAGGAAAGGTACAGGAAAGATCTTCTCCACTTCGACAAATCAAGTTGTAGATACACTAGAACACTTGAAAGATTACCATGCACATCAAATACAAATCATTCTATAGAATGTATTGGCTATGCTTGGGGAACATCATTGCAGTACACACATGGTATTAATGTACAACTGACATGAGTGTACAACTTGAAAGCAGCTTATATAAGATTACACATTGCATCTTGTCAGGTTGATTTCAGGTTTCACTGAACGTTTTAAAAAATGACAAATATTGCAAACTGATGATATTCTCAGCTGACATCTGCAACACTTAAATAATTTTTTGAATATTTAAAATCAGCTTGACAAATTACAATGCATGTGTGAACCTAGCTTTATCAAGTCTAAAATCTTTTATACATGCACACATGTCACCACCTCTGAGCCATACTCTGAGCAGACATCCTGACAGCAGCAACAGACACCTCGTCAAAATATGAAACAGATGTCCATCGATTATTACATTTTTGTCATTAAATAAAGGGCTGAAATACTTTATAATGTAAAAACCAAAAATATTTAAAAACCAAATTTGAACGATTTTTGATCAAATTGTTGGGGATTTAAACTTCAAAGCAAATGTTTTATAACAGACAGAATACAAAAATTTCGATATATTTGCAACTAAGAGAATTCTTTAGATTATTTTATTTATAAAACGAGACATACTGTTGGTTTTTGGCATACATTATAACATTTTAACATTTATAGGCTAACAAATTTTACATTCAGTTAGAATGTTAAACAATAAACAAATACAAGGATTCAGAAACATATCGGCACATGTAAAGTTTAAAGGGACTTTGAAGCAAATTTACACAATAACATTTCACTAAATATGAGTTATATGACCAAAAGTACACAATTTTATATTGACGATAAACTAATGTAAATGCTAATAAGTGTTACTCATATTCACAGACACAGAATAATGCCAATAATGAATATAAAATAATTAAAAAAATATGAATCAAACCTCGTCTTCATCATCGCTATAATCTTCCCTCGACCTGTTTACAGCTCTCATCAATTCTTCCCGGTCTTTCTCGTTTTGAACATGAAAACTTTGCTCTAATTCATCCTCAGTTAACGCTCTGAACTGTTGTAGGTTCATAGAGTTTGGAAAAACATTGTCCAAATACTCGAGCGAAAGCTGCTTTAAAAACAAGCTTAGCTCTTCGCGACTTGCGGAATCTTTTGAAGGCTGTTTCGCCATTATAACGAGCTAGCACTACTTTCCAGGCATTTTTTCCTCAAGAAAGCTAGCAGTTTTATATAAAACTTCGAAGACAGCGCTTCTTGTTCAGTGTCAATGCACTGTTGTGGCAGGCATGAGCGTCCGACACAAACAGCGGTTTGACACTTTATTTCCATCGGTAAATCGGTAAAGAAACATTAACGAAGCAATCAGTTGAATACCCACAGTCCCTTTCCATAACACTACTTCTTCATCTCAACAAACCGTAGGTGTTTTGTGCGATAAATCTTTGATAAATACGATGTTTTGTTTGTCTGATGTGGAGTGATAGAGAAGCAATATTCGTGAATATTTATATGTTCCAAATGACTGCAGTCTCAGCCGGGATATTTGACCCCCGGTCCTTTCCGGTGTTTAGAAACGATTCTTTGATATGAGCCGCCGCATGTCGCCAGATCAGTATGTCGCCTTGCACGTCATACCTATTTCCAGTTTCGAAGATTGAAAAATTACGTTTTTCGTGCAGAAAAAATACAACCTACATAGTATCTTGGACATTTTAATTGTCGACGTTCAGCGGTAGGCAGCGTTGAAATGATTAGGATCCAACGCTCCGTGATACTGTATATTTCAGTGGCCGGTTGTATAAAACTCTTATAACTACTTTTTAACCACGTGCACTGTTTTGTAGTTCAATAGTAGTCAAGTCCGGACCTGTAACTAGGATTTTAGATTTGCCGAGTCGAGCGCCCAAGGCGCGTGAAACGTCTCCCATGTCGCTTGCCTTCAACCATTGAACTATAAATAAACTGGAAGGCTAACTGCTATGATGAAGGCCTATGATTTGATGAAGCCAAAATAGTTTTTCTGAGTTATGAGCAGAAATACTTGACCCCAAACGTCGGGCTATATATCAAATTGAAGCTATTGAAAATTGCTATTCGATGTGGAAATTTCAAGACTTCAGCGAAAAGAAAAATCTTTAAAAAATACAAAAACAGCTGCAAAACGGCAAATTATCGGTAATTATGTTTGTAGTTTTTCAATATTTCCCTTTTAGCTAAAGTCTTGAAATTTCTACACCAAATAGAGTTTTTCAATAGCTTCAATTTGATATATAGCCCAACGTTCAGTGTTGAGTATTTCTGCTCATAACTCAGAAAAACTAAAATGCACTGGCTTCAATTTCCCCCCCTGAGTTAGCCTTCCAGTTTATTTATAGTTCAATGCCTTCAACTCACGACTGGCCCTGG